TCTCGACCTAGTCTCGTGTTCTCGCGAGACTAGGTCACTCCGTGTTCAAGGTGTACAGTCGACACCGAAAATTTGGAGGTATGTAATCTACCTTACAAAAATACAGTCACTGATAGAAGAATTTCTACTAACTGGATAGAGTGGATTTAATAAATAGGTCGACATTACTTTTAGGTAGTAAATAGTTCCATTAGATAGAAGACCTTCTAGCACAGTTGATGAGAATTCAAAACTGAAGTGGTACGCTCATTTCTATTTTTCGAACTTATTATGAAGGATTGTCAAACTTCAAACGCAAACACAAGGAACTGGATTTTGAATAGTGACGGAAGACGCAACAAACTATCCGCTCCTCCAACTACTAGTATTATTTGTTTGCAATCTGCATAAATTGACAAAATGGAAGTGGTTGATATATTGCTTGTTAAAACTCGATTCATAGAGTCGAATATGTCCAACTTTCTATGTCCAACTTTCTTCTGCAATTTCAAAATCTTCTGAATATCATATTTGTTTTACCTCTAGTGAGTTTTTCAGCATGTTAATTTCCTCCACTGACTCGACCCAGACGTTGACGTGCCCCCTGGCGTGCATTCCGTACAGCTTGTACAGGAGGTCCATGACTGGGAGGGGGTTCTCCTGGGCGGAGTACAGCTCCTGCTCCGCGCTCTGTGCAGGGTCGGGCCGGTACCGCTCGTCTACACTTTGTACTGAAAAACAGGGATGCTGTAAGTGACACACGACCATGTTTGTTTGTGTCGCATAACCGGTAAACCGCCTTTAGGCGTAACACACCAGTTTTGTACATGTACGTACATGTACAAGCTGCGTAAGAACGGACTGTAAGGTTTGAACCACTCACACCGGGAAGGTCCGCTATTTTTTTTCGATAAGTGCGGTGGGTTCTTTAACGTGTGTGGGTGTGGCTCTCCCCAAACACGGGACCTCCATTTAACGTCCTATCCGAGAGACGTCCCTCAGCCAAGCTAGATACTCATTTCCACCTGAGTGAAATGAGACTAGTCGTGTAAAGTGCCTCTCCCAAGGGCACAAGATCGGTGACATGGGCAGGATTCGAACCCGCGACCTCTTGGGTGTGAGCCGAACGCGCTATTGACTGCGCCACAAGACCCCACTGTGGTCACCACTACCTCAGCCTCATGACCTCAATAAAAAGCTGCCAGCAGGCGGATTTGATTTGAGTATTTTATGAAGAAAACTCGAAGAAAAAAACTACACACCAAGTAGTGAGAAGAGCGGTGCCTCTACGATGCAGTGTCCCGGATGACAGGCGTCAGCCTTGATCGCCAGGTTG